ATATTCATATCAATAGATATATACCCAAAAAAACAGTAGGAAATATTGAGGGATAAGATCAGAGACTGATATTCAATTGTACAAGCAAGAGTCACTCAGAACAAACATTACCCTGTGACTTTTCTAAATTATAATGCGAATTTTTCAATGCACACAAATTAGTGAAAAATCTATGAACTTTCACAGTTTCTGTGGCAACAGCAGAGAGGAGTTTTTCAACTCTCAAATTGCTGAAAACGCTGAAAACGCAAAACTACTATCCTTTGATGTGTAGAATCTATTTCCCAGCATACCACCTGATGATACTATTACTTCAGTTATGAAACGAGAAATCATTGACCTTCTGTCCTTATATCCCAAACAAAATCATTTTCAATTCAACAACAATATTTGTTCATCTTCAAAAGGTTTAATTGTGGGAAATCCATTAAGCCTCTTACTTGCGAACATTTTCATGTCGATTTTTAAACATTCTTTGATTAGGAATTTCTTGTATTGGCACAGATATGTGGATGACGTTTTGGTATGTTTTACAGGTACTTAGATACTTTTCATAGGAATATTAAACAAAATTCATGAAAACATTAAATTCACTATTAAAGTAGAAGCAGACAACTCAATCAATTTCTTGGACTCAACAATTAGTAGAATGAACAATAAACATGATTTTTCAATTTATTACATACATTACGATTCTACCCATCCATATCAACACAAAGGAGCAGCTTATAGTAGCATGATTCACAGATTAGTCAATGTTCCTCTTTCAATAGATAATTTCAATAAAGAACTTAATATCATCAAGCAAATTGCAGTAAACAATGGGTTTAAAGCCGAAATAATAAACAAAATACTTTCCAGAGAAGTCTACGCAAAAGCGATGCATGACATTTTTCCTATTGATAAGTTAGATAATCAAAATTATAGAGCTTTAACGTATTTTGGACAAACAACGGAAAAAGTGACCTCATTTTTGAAGAAACGAGATATTAAAATTGGGGATTCCTGTCAACCTTTATTCGGAAGGCATAAAATCTTGACCCTGCCTTCCATACTTATATTGGAAATGGTATGTCTGATGCAAAAAAAATACAGGACGGAAATTTTCACTTCACCACGTCGAAATACCAGAAATAAGGTCAATATAGGTTTACCGATTCCAATATCATCAAAAATTGAGACGTCTTTCATATATAATGGAAAGAAAATGTTTAACCATTTGCCAATTGAGATCTAATTTTGAAATCACCAAATGTTCAAATTTCAAATACTACTTTTAATTTGTATGACTTATATTCTTTGAAATAATAACACTTTGACTATGATATTTTATCTTCGACAATATCTATTGAGTTGTGTATCTTATATTTCTTAGAATAGTAACACTTTGTCAATGAGATTTCATCTTCGACAATAAAGTACGTTTTGATTTGATTTGCATATAGAACAAGTAATTGTTGGAAAGTTAGTTAGAAATAATAAAGATAAATCATCCAAATTCCAGAAATCAGGAGTATATAAATTAAAGTGTGGAACGTGTCCTAAGCTATATATCAGTCAAACTGGCAGAACATTCAGGAATCGAATCCAGGAACATCATATGAGTTATGTAAATAAGAAAACAAGTTCAACATATTCAAATCATCTCTTATAAGAAAATCATCTTAAACGAAGAGTTCGAAATTTCACACATAGAAAATAAAGGTTTGAAATTGAATCATTAGAAAACGGAAATTAATAAACTTATAAATTTATACATTCTAGTGAATGGCCAACTGGATTTGAATAGGTCACCAATTATTGAACTTGAACGAGAAAGAATTATTATTGATGATCATAATTGAAGAGGTACCTAAGGTAGAGATTTAGGTAATTTGTTGGAGGTAGTCTCAATTCTAGTTACCTGTAGTATATGAATATTAGTGTAAGAAGCAACTTGTAGTTTTCAAATCACTGTTGATAAAGCTACTGTGTTAGCGAAACGTGTCGTGATATATTTTTCAAATAAAGTTTGTGGATATCAAATCGTGAGGTGTAGTTTATGAAAACGTATTTGAGTTCAATTATGCTAGAAGAAGAACAAGAAGAAGACCGTCTCAACGGCAGGCATTATTGTTGATTCTTCGTGATTCTTCAAGTCATCAGTGGATTCTTGTGGTTGAGTAATAGAGAGCTTTGACTATCACTATGTGTTCAATTTACTGCAAATTTTTCAGATAAAATTTAATCAATTCACATTCGTAGACTATCATGTCTCAGTGGGTATATTGGTGTGGAGGTGATATGATTCTTCAATGGAATAGTTCTCCATATGCTGCTTTTTGATACCACATTGAACAAGGGAAACCAAAATCTGCTTCAGCTTCCCTGAACCAAATCCTGAAGGCTCTACTGGGTAAAATGCACGTTGATAAAAGTGTTGGAGTTCTGGTATATTACAAAGTGTTTTTAGTGGATCATTTCATATATAATATGAATTGAACTGTTTGACCATCAAAAATGATTGAAATTTTTCTAAAATATTCATATCAATAGATATAACTTTTTATAACTTATCAATATAATATTTACAGAAAACCTGATATTTTCTCCTATTGTATATTTTGCACCTTTCAGTTGTATCATAGTGAAGTGGTAGAAACTGAATGTTGAAAAAAGTATCGCTAACCATCGTTATCTTCTTGTAATTTGACCTAATTTCGACAATTAGCCGCATGAATATGACTTTGAACTAATTTGTTGACAGATAATGGATTATCTTCAGTGACTATCGAATTCAATGATATTGACAAATATTGCACAATGTTACCGACTTTAGTAGAGTCTAACCCAATATTCGAAAAAAGATGAATTATCACTTTCTAGAAATAATGCGAGATGAGAAGAGGTTCCTAAGAAGTACAGGTATGATATATGTAATGAAGAAAACTTTTTGAGAGACATTTTTCGTCGGGGATTCAATATTTCTTAAATTTTTTTTATCGACCTTCTTTGGGTATTTTCACCTTCCACAATCAACAATATTGACATAATTCACATTCCAGAGTTTCTTCGACATCTGTGAAAGAAATTGTGGAATGAAAATAATCAGCAAAGGAAGAGCGGCGTATAGACTTGAATTTTGTCCACCCTCTGAAGACGAAGGCAAATTTTGACCTTAGAAACGTTAAAATAAGTATTGTTTGATTTTTTGGCTCTTTCATTTGAAGTACTGCGTTCACGTGGAATAAACTTTCTAACAACGTTTTTTCTTAATCTCCAGCGATTCTAGTCCAACGTGAATCGCTACTTTCGCACAAGCACCGCTCTTAGAGCTCCTTCAGGATTTTCCTGTAGTGCTTGTGTTTTGTCTTAAAAAAAGTATTATTGATTACGACAACTTGCTGATAAATGAAACATTTTGTTTGTGAAAAATACTTTGAATTTACGCAGTCACTTTTCGGGGTGAACTAACAGGTTGTGGGAAGTGAAAATACCCAAAGAAGGTCGATGAAAACCTGATTTTCTTCCACAAAGAACGACTTTCACAATCTGTAAGTCATATCACTGTGTAGTATGAACCATCGAGGAGTTCAGTTAGTCAGTAACCTATCGTATTTATAAATTTCACCTACAAATGAATGAAAATTAAATTCATATACCTAGCTTTTTTTGGTGGTCGACATCCCAAATTCACTTTCAAACTTTAACCTCAAATTGTTATAAATAGCTGTATTATTTAACGTATGTCGAAAGATATAAAGCTATTGACATACGTCAAAATAATTCTTTTGACGTTAGTCAAAAGAAATACAGCTATTTACAATTTGGGGCAAAAGTTTTGAATGAAGTGAATTTTGGGCTTTGAAAACGTCTTCGAAACGTCGACTACTGAAGAAAGACTACTAAAGAAAGATGAGTAAAGAAAACTTATCAGAAGATAAAGCGACATTGTGAAATTAATTCAAGACAATTAAGATGCATGTACCTAGCTGAGGTATCTATGCTATAAATAAGGACAAAATTGTACCTATATAGATTTAGTTCAATCTTCCTCTTGAAGACGATCACTTGGTGATGGAAACACGTGTCAAGGTGTTAAAATAACGGTTTGGTGTTGGGATAAAAGTCTAGTAATATTCAATACTACACCAAAGGTTCCAAACAGTGCATTACAAGTACCTTTCAGTATGTTTATTATGTTCATTGTTTTCTTTATTTATGAAGGAAATGAAGTGTTTTCAGTTGTTAATGTATTGTTGGAGTATATACATGCAAACATGAAAGAATGAATTTCGTCAACTGCAACTTAATCTATAATTTTGGGTAATTTGATTTAAGATTTCACGCTATTTAACACCGTCTAAAAACGTTATCAACAGCGAAATGCCCCTAAAAATAATATCTTTATATTGTGGACTCTTTTGGACGATACTTTTCGAAATATTTGAATAGTTGAGGTTGAATTAATCACCTGATATGAAGAAGCTAAGTATATGTAATTTGTTTTTTCTCAAATATATCAAATTCATCATCGACAGCTTTTTCAAGTAAAGAATATTATCATTTTATCTCATCGCATAAACACATAGTTTTCACCCCTCAACTCTAAATTTTCACCTAATCCAGGTCACCAACTTTCGCTCCAGTTCTATAATGACGGGAGGCAAATCCTTTCGCTACTCCTTTTCAACAGTGAGAGCACAGAAAGCATGCGCGTTTTAGAACTGAAAATTGCGCCACCGCTGACAGCAGGCCACTAGTAAGCTTGAATTCCTGAAAACATGAAAATCAATATGAAACCCAGTTCCTGAGGTGCAGACATCAGTTTGACGACAATGTTGAAGTTATAATGAATTGAAAATTCGATATGGCAAGAGGCCGGAGCGTTCGTGCTTATTCTTTCGGGTTTTGGTCATTAGGAGAGTTGAAACAGGTGTAGTGCGGGAAAATCAAAGATGCACCTGCATTTCGAAAGAACGGTAAATGCAAAGAGCGATTGCCCCATTCTGTCTCTTACCTGGATGGGAAAAGTGCCTGATGAATTGCCAGAGGTAAGAATAATTTCTAAAACGAGCATTCGTATTGCGAAATTAAAACGTTTCCATCCACCCCACAATTTTATTCATAAATTATATGGAAACTTTTTTTTACAATAATGAGATAATTCAAAGATGGGTAGAAATTTTTTGTGAGCTATCTGCTTACTTATGTCGAAGTAATTCACTAGCTCCGTAGTGTTTTCTTACACAAATAAAAATATAAAATCAACTAGTGACCCGATCTGGTTTCACTTGAGTAGCAGAGTATATTAACCTTATTTTTTTTTGTGTGAATGTGTCTCATTAGATTCAATAATAATATTGATCTTGCATAAAATTGGGTCAAACAATAGTACCCCAATTTTAGCTTTCTACTCTATATTTATACAAACTTCCGAAACTTCCAAAGGAAGCAAGATGTAGAAACTTTGAAGTAGGTGACCACCTATTTTCCTAAAGACAACACAAAACAAAAATGCGTCCTCAACCTTCAAAATGAGTCATTACGTAAAACAAAATCAACGCAATGACAATCTTTTTTCATCACGCGTGTCGCAGCGATTTTTCAGATCACTTGATTTTTTTGATTCGCGTTAACTCCTGAATCTAAATGGAATTACATGGTAAAAAGCAACTATAGTGTGCATGAATTGCTTAAGATAACTAGGTTAGGTTAGGTCCAAAGTGAGTGGGTCTATTCGACACTCCACCACAACCCGGTTCAAGGGTTCATTGTGGTTCACACCTATTCGAAGCCGATTAGTTTGTATGGTGAGTGGTCTTTCAGGTCAGATGGAAAGAGTACGCCTCCCCAGCTGAGCAGGCACAAAGTATGTGCTCTGCTATTTCATCATTTTTCAAACAGAGGCAACACACACTGTCTTCCGACAGTCCAAGTCTCTGCATATGATGATTTAAATGACATTGTCTGTAAGAAGGCCTGTTGGATATCATAGTTCATCCTTACTGTAGTCCAACAACTGTTTGGTATCAAGTTTCGAAGGGCGAAGAAACGCCTTTGAGTGAGCCAATCCTGGAATATTCTGCCAAAAGTCCATAAATCTTCTTGCCATCCAAGTGTTCAATGTTTGTTTGGCAAAGCCAGAAGTGATGCCAATGACAGGTTCTGGTCCGATAAAGCTGCTTGCAGCACCTTCCTTCGCAAGCCTCATTGTCTTCCAGGCCAGTATGGCCACGAATCCAGACCAGAGATAATCTGTTAAGTCTGCCTATCGAGGAGAGTCGTTTTTGGCAATTTGCTACCAATTTAGACGTTGCTCGGTAGGAGCCAAGAGAATATTTTTATTGACTTGTGTATGAGGTTGGATTCTTCCAATCTCTCCTCACACAATTCAATAACGTAAATTTCGGCTTGAAATACAGTCGGATAGGTTCCTAGGCAGGTTGATATATCTGTCCTGGGTCTGCGACTGAAAACATCTGCACCGGAACCGGAAAGTGTTTTTGATCTATCTTTGAACCAACAACTATCTTCTCTTGATATTTTCTTCTCCCAGAGGATACAGTCCTCTCTACTCGGGAACAGTACTAAAGTCAGAGGTCATTTCCAGAATGCTGTGACTTCCAGTATCAACCAACAGTCTGTTGCATTCTGCATTGAATCAATTTGGGCAATTGGCAATGTGCCCAAGTCTATATGCAGTCCATCTAGCCTCTCTCTCCAGAAAAATGTGGAGAGGAGGTGAATCTAGAAGGATCTCCATGTCGTACTGATGGCACCACTGATGGCCAGACAAGCCTATCTCTGTAAGCCAGAGAGCTTCGCCTGGGCCGTTTGATGTAAAGCCTCGCCACCAGGCAATTGCACCATAAGTGATCACCAAGATGCCAAGAAATTCCACCCCCGTTCCAAATGGAATGACCTCACCATTGAGAGAAAATGGCGTTAGATCGTCCAAGTTTATCCTCCAGGTGAAGGGGATTATCATAATTTTGCTGAACAACGTCCATCGTGCTTTGGAGGATATTACAAGCTACCCTTTTCGACGTGGACCTTGCCAAGATGACAAGGTCATCTGCATGAGCTTGCAGATCTACTTTTCTTCTGTCGAAGGCATCAAGCAGTCTATTCATCAGGAGCGACCACAGAAGGGTATATAGTACCCTTCCTTGAGGGCATCTATGGGGACCCTGAATCTAACGACCTCGCCTTGAGTCGTAGTTGTAGTTTTGTTTACCAGCATGGCATAGATACAGCCAGTTATGGTCGATTCTATACCTTTCCAAGCCGGAGATGATCCTATGGATTTAGGATGTGCATTGTCAAATGCTCCTTGAATATCGAAAAATATAGCAACTAATATTGTATCAGTTTAAATAGTAGTAAAGATAGTGAAGAGAAGAACAAAATGTCGTGAATAGCTTGGATGAATCTCATAGGTATCAGACAAGGATTTCGATGAACGCTCGCACGTAAAGCACCTCGCCATTGTATAGCATTGCGCCATTGTATATGGGAAAGAAAGGTTTTGGCTTTCTACTTCTCCTTCTCTATACAAAAAAAAATAGGAATCTTCCCAAATAACTTCCAGACACAAACTCAGTGCTACTTTTTTGCATGATCTACAAATTTTTGCCTTTGCCAATTACTGCCCTCCTTTATTTGAAAGATTTCCATTTTTTTTGTATGAAGATGGAGAAGTAAAAAGCCAAAATTTTTTTTCCAAAAAGTGTTACGGTTTTGTGAACTGCTCAGTGAAAATCTCACAATGAAATGTTATTTGTAGAATAAATGAAGAAATATAAAAATGATAGCACTGAAATGATATCCAAAAAGTATAAAGACAAATCACTGCGTATTTTAAATCAAATTCCCTACCACATCTGTCAGTCTGAAGGCAATGAACTCAAAATATCCCCAATGAACGAAGAGATTCAGAAGAAAGATGTATGTGTATGATTTAATCATGTTCTCTGCGAGTTATTGAAATATGACAATGTTGTCTGTGAAAAGACTGAGTGAAGATGCTATCTGTGAGAGCGTTCATCAAAATCGATGTTTAAACTGATGGTCACATACATGTGGAAATTGAAGAGCCATTTAGAAGTATATAATATAAATCTTTATCAAATAAATATAAGCTGCACAGTTATAATGTGCATTCCATGCACATTATAACAGTTATAATGTGCATTCCATGCACATTATAACTGTCCTTCACACCATACAAATCAAATTAATATAAAAGAAGTTATCGCAAAATCAAAACTTTCGCTCCTGAAAATCAATTCATGAGGACTGGAAAACCTATGTAACGCTTGAATCAACTTCATTTCCCAATATGATTGCATTAGTCTAAGATGACTTCAGTTGTAGAAAATGATTAATTGAAAATATATGAAGATTATGTAAGTCATAATTTATAGCAAATTTATAGCAAATGTCGTTAGTAATGCTGTAAATATGACAAGAAAATGTTTGGGAAATTTTTTGTATAAATAGAGAAGAGTATAGGCCCCAATATTGATCCTTGGGGTACTCCGGTACTCACAGATACAAAACTTGATCCAATATCTTGATATTTTACAGCTTCGCTCCTCTAGGATAGATAAGATAGATGATACACGGTAACAGAAATGGTATGCACAAATTTAAAGTGAGAATATTGATACCATCTGGTTCAGCAGCTTCACTTTCAATACCTTTTATTATATGGAGAATATTGATTTCAAATATTGGCTGTAACGTAAGAGTTGTTTGTACCGATGTTTTTATAATATGCTCGTAGAAATGTTTCATGCTATAATCAGGAGTCAGTTTAGGAACAGCATTTAAGAAGAATTCATTGATTTCATTCACATTCTACTCATTTGATAAACCCATATTATTACGATCTTTCTTAAATCCCACAATACTCTCTGTATGTGATTGATTTTTCAGCTTGAATTTGGTATATGCTTTTTTTCCCTTTTAATTGTGACAGTTACTGAGTTACTTCTGGTGATCTTGAATTTCTTTTAATTTTTGAAAGGCTCTATCTCTGTCAGACGTCATAGCTTTGATTGTATTAACTAACTCATGGTACGTATTTTTTAAAACAATTTTGAGGCATTGAAAAGGGACGTGAAGATCTAGAATACTTATGATATTATTCGATAAGAATTGCAGTTTGTTATCTACATCATTTAATACAAATATAATATTCTGTGGTAATAATTGTAGGTTACTATTGAACCGATTGTATCCTGTATCTTTCTGCAGGTAATGTATCTAGGTTCATTTATCACTATTCTTAAGGTAACATTAAATACAATCATTTTATGATTCCCTATTTCTGGAATATGTTTAACCTTTTGTTGCATTGTGATATTATAATCAGATGTTGCTAAGTAATCCAATAGAGTGGCTGAATGATAGGTAATGCGTGTTGGTTCCTTTATTGATTGCTTAAGCCCTAGGTCATCAAGAGTATTACCCACTAATTCACATGGGGTACTATCAATGTTTGAAAGGTCTACTGAAGGTTGAATATCACGGATATTACTGATTAAAACATAATAACAATTTCTTTCGTGAGGATTATAAAATACGCCCAAAGCACTGAGGATTATAAAATATGCCCAAAGCACGGTACTCAGAATTGAAGAAAATCTTCAACCATATCTGTTCAATTTATCTACCACTAGGAATAAGTGTATATTTTATATTAGTTTTTACGTAAATGCCACCACCACCACTGATGTCTCCTCAATGATCTAGTTTCTCAAAGAAATAACAAGGTATACTTATGATATCATTCGATATATTACATTTGAGCCATGTTTCACTTACCGCGAGTGTATATACTGTCTTTGCAGTGGAGTATCCTAGTTTGTTTGCAGCAATTTTCATAGAATAAAAACCAGAGGACAATTTTTAATTAAAGTTTTTGAATTGAATTCAAGACCGTTGTCAATGTATAGTCCTAGAAATTAAGAAAACACACGGTTTTCAATTATCTGGTGGTTTAAAGAAATATCAGCAACTGCACTTTGAAGGACACTATCTTGGT